GAGAGGAGCCTCCATTGGTATCACGCGGGGGGGGGGGCCACGCGGTGCCGCCAGACATCAGACTCCTGACTTGCCCGGGACTCGCTCGGAGCCAAACTGGTTGAGAAAACAAAAAAATTCCGGAGATTTCACGCCCGGAGAAACCTCTCACAAGAGCGCGATTGTCTCCCTCTCTCTATCCCTCCATTGTGATCCCGAGGGGGCCACGCACACTCCCGGCTCGCCCTGCCCGATTACCTGCGAACAGGTCGCTGCAAGTCCGCCGCCTCTCCGAAACAATCGCCGGGGGAGGGGAGGAGGGGGAGGCTGCACCCCCTGTATAAACTTTACAGTGTGAGAACCGGGGCAAAGCCTCGCAGCAGCTGCCTGAAGAGGACCTGTCACGGCTGCCGGAAAAAAAAAGCTGCTCTGGGTTCATTAATACATCATGAAATCTATTTTTTTTTTAAATGACAGTTTTTTTTGGGGGGGGGGGGGGGGCGTGGGGAATGTTTATAACCAATCGGCAGAGCTGTTGGCCCCAAGAATCTTTCCGAGGGTTTGTTCGAATAGAGGCAAAAACGAATGTCAAATGTATGTCATGTAGTACTGCTTCATGGCCACTAGATGGAGCTGGAGAGCATACGTACTGATGGCCACTAGATGGAGCTGGAGAGCATACATACTGATGGCCACTAGATGGTGCTGGAGAGCATACGTACTGATGGCCACTAGATAGAGCTGGAGAGCATACGTACTGATGGCCACTAGATAGAACTGGAGAGCATACGTACTGATGGCCACTAGATGGAGCTGGAGAGCATACGTACTGATGGCCACTAGATGGAGCTGGAGAGCATACGTACTGATGGCCACTAGATAGAGCTGGGGAGCATAAGGAATACATACTGATGGCCACTAGATAGAGCTGGGGAGCATAAGGAATACATACTGATGGCCACTAGATGGAGCTGAGGAGCATAGGCAATAAATACTGATAGCCACTAGATGGTGCTGGGGAGCATAGGAATACATACTGATGGCCACTAGATGGAGCTGGAGAGCACAGGGAATACATACTGATGGCCACTAGATGGTGCTGGGCAGCATAGGAATACATACTGATGGCCACTAGATGGAGCTGGAGAGCACAGGGAATACATACGTATGGCCACTAGATGGTGCTGGGGAGCATAGGAATACATACGTATGGCCACTAGATGGTGCTGGAGAGCATAGGGAATACATACGTATGGCCAGTAGATGGACCTGGGGAGCATAGGGAATAGATACTGATGGCCACTAGATGGTGCTGAGGAGCATAGGAATACATACGGATGGCCACTAGATGGTGCTGGGGAGCATAGAACATAATTATTTTCCATTCTTCCAATCATGGCTGCTTAGTATCACATGTGGGCATTACCTAGGGTGGTCCACATGCAAATGAAGCCCACCTGGGAACGCCCACTCCTCCAGACTGACACCCGCCCATCAAGGCGTCTTGATATTTGCATAACACCTCCCACTGCTTGAAGCCGGGCTGAGGGCTCTTGAGCGAAGTACCGTGGCAGGGTGCTACATACCAGACCCTGCCGGCCCCTCCCACCAGCCATGGTCTCCCTGCATTGCATAGACAGCACAGGGGGACCCCAATGATGACATCACTGTATAGACCAGTCCTAATTAGGGATGGCGCAATCCTTACTCAGCACAGTCAGCTTGGCTCCCTTGGACCGGAGGGCGGCCTCGGTGGCTTGGCACTCGAAGTTGGCGTCATCGTAGATGCTGGCGTTGGTGATTTCCAGGTTGTACTGGCCGGAATCCACGTTGCCGACCACTTGGTAGCGAGGCCAGACTGTGGAGGGGAAGAAAAGAGAACACAATGTCACACTTTGTACAGAATTCGACTTGCCAGAAGTGACCCCGTTGTGCCCGTGCTGACCTCCTCCTGAGAATGCTGACGGGCATGCTAAAGTGGCACCGCAGACAACATTAAGGGTCGCTTTAGCATGCCGTGAGTAGTAGGCTTGAAGTAATATGACTGGTTCGTTGGAGATGATAATTGTCTCACTGACCAGGTTAGAAGAGGTGAAAATGTTGAAGGTGGGGGCGGGGTGAGGCCCCCCCCCAAAATATAAACAGCCGGGGGGGGGGTTCGGAGGTGTGAGTCAGGAGGGATGTTTATAGGAGACGCCCGATGGGAGGACATCAGGCAGCTCCCGGAATACCGCTAACCAGGGTGCCGCCTCCTAACGCTTTGATGTGGGAAATATTCCAAAATGATAACCGGAGGTGTGAGAGATTCACCCCGGGGGAATGCGGGTGATCCCACACCAGGTCTCAAAACTCGGGTGTAACAATGTAACAATGCGGCAATTCCTGTTCACCGGCGGCTCCGGGCCTTCAATAACTGCGCCGGATTCTAATGCGCTCACGTCAACCGTGACCTCGCCGATTGTTCATTGTCATACGCTGCGTGTGAGGTCAACCGGCGGTTGTTCAACAGAGAGGACATGGCGGGGGCTGAATGTATATGTTTGGCCACATCCCTCCACCTTGCTAAACCCCCTTCCTTGGGATGCCACCACCCTTACTAAACCCCCTTCCTTGGGATGCCACCACCCTTACTAAACCCCCTTCCTTGGGATGCCACCACCCTTACCATTGCTTGAAATACCCCCTCCTTGGGACCCCACCCTCCTTCAGATGCCTCCTCCCTTTGGACCCTCCACCTCTTGGGATGCCTCTTACTTTGGGACACCACCCTCCTTGGAATGCCCACCTATCTTAGAGCTGAGGGCTCTTGAGAGGAGTACCGAAGCAGGGTGCTGTTTTCAGGAATCTATGTACAGCCCCCTGCCGGCCCCTCCCATTAGCCATGATCTGTCTGCATCGCATAGACAAGCAGAGAGACCCAGTGATGACATCACCGGGACTAAAATAAGATATGTAATTAAAACTAATAATGCTGATGGAGGGGGAGGGGACCCGGGAAGGCATTACAGAAGCAGTGTCTTCTCCGCTGTCCGACTCCTCAGTTGCGAGTGCCCCCCCACCCCCCGCTTAGCATCTATCAGCGCGCCGACAGCACGCCAACTAAATGAAGTATTTGCAGCGATCCTGGTTAGTCAGCAGAATCCGGGCCGGGACTGCGAGGCCGGGGGGGATAAATTGCTGGCGGCCACGATTGATGGATGAAGAGGATTTAAAGAGCCGGTGCACGTGTGCCAGAAGGGTGACGGGGCCCCACGAGGACAGCCGGCCTATAAGGCGACGTCAGCCATCGGCCCGCTCGGGACCACTCATTGCTGTACGAAGGAGCACCAGATTATTCCCCCTCGTCCAGGTCCAATGGGCCGGCCGCTACGTCGTTACCTTTCCGAACCCGACTGCGACGGCTTTCTACATCCTCAGCCTGCTAGCCCGATTCATCATCTCCGGGCAGGAAGTGAGCCCATTGGCTGAGAAAAGCTGATTTCTAGAGCATGACACACAGCTCAGTCCAACATTTCAAAGATGGGCACCAAACAAATGCCCAACTGGCCAAAATGTCTTTTAATGATAAAAATCAGTATAAAAAAAACCTCCAACGCGTTTCAAGGGGGGCCGGAAACCCCGCCTTCATCATGGCTTCTCACAGAATCAGAGGTTCCCTAGACTCACAACTGCTCTTTGGCGGATATATCTGATACGTGGATCTGTCTGCTAAGGAGTAGCTCTGAGCCCACTCAGTCTCGGTTAATTTTTGGGAAGCCATGGTGAAGGGAGGAGGGGTTTCCTGGCCCCCGAAACGCGTCAGACGAACTGATTACATTATTAATTTAGTATACTGGACATTTATTTGGTGCCTTTATTAGTCTGTCTAGATGTGCATTCTCATTCTGGGTGACCCCCTATATTCAAGGGTTTGTGGGAAGAAGCGGAATTGGGGCCAATGGGCCCCTGCGATGACTTGACTCGCCTATTGCAAACTTGTTTCCGGCTCCTCTCCTTTCAAAGAGACCCAATTGAGACAAAGTATCGGGATCTCCTAAAGCCCCCGCCCCCAATACCTTCATAGTGCTCTTGGAGCTTACACAGGGAGATGATGTCACACTCTCCGTCATGTGATCGTGTTTGAGCCTTCTGATTGGCTGCCGAGCCAGAGCACTGCATTATAGGAGGAGGTCACACCTGGAAGAACGGGGTACGCTGCGATGGAGGGGGGAAGGGAAGAGCGGGAATCTTACTCTTTAGGTTCCCCAGGCCCAGGGCCAGGCCGTCTTTGGTCCATTGCACGATCCCGGAGTAGTTCAGCACCACGCACGTCAGCACCACCTTCTGCCCCGCCACCACCGTCTGGTCGGCCGGCTCCTGGAGGAAACGAGACTGCGCGGCTGTAATCAGAGAAGAGAAAATGGAAGCGGGGTCAACGATGGCGAAATTCTCATTAAAAATCAGACGGAAATTGTATGAATATTAATGAGGAATCGCGATTAATATTCCGGAACGTTCTATTATTCAGCAACGGCGGAAATCGCAGCGCCGGAGAGAACCGCCGAATCCGGCAACCAATGGAGGCACAAGACTGTTTACCAACCTACCCCCCAACCTATCCACCAACCCACCTAATCTATCTATCTATCTATCTATCTATCTATCTATCTATCTATCTATCTATCTATCATCTATCTATCTATCTATCTATCTATCTATCTATTATCTATCTATCATCTATCTAGGAAGAACACGCATGACTCACGTATGAGGACGATATCTGTGACCCCGGAGTTCAGCTTTAGGATTGGTTGGGATTCGGATGGTCTTTATTGGGATGGATTTCATGTAATAATTCCATTATTTCGATGCGATAAATCCATTTTCCGGGGTGATAAATATTATTTCTCCGTACCCGAGAGCCGAAAGCTAATGTAATGCAGCAAAATAAAGCCTTCCGTACGATAAATAATAGCCGCCGCCGCCCGCAGACGGAACCAAGCGCGGCCCCGCGGAGATATAATCCATACCGTGACGCGGCGCTCGGAATTAGGGGCGCCGGAGGTCGCCGGAGAATTAAAGGTAAACCAAGTGTTGCCAAACACGATTGATCTCCTCGCCGCGTTTTAATAAGCTGTTAACGCGTTCTCCTCGCTCCCCTACGCAACGCGGGGACACATGAAATTGGCGTGCTCGCCTTGGTCATGTGACACGCGGAACACGGGACGTCCCTTGTAGATCCAGCGGAGGATTGCAGGCGCGTGCTGAGATCTTATCAGAAATTGTAACATTGTGACAACATGATATCACATTGTAACAAATAGGAGTCATGTGACCTCGGTGAGAGGTAATGCATACCATGGACACATTACTCAGCATCAGTGGCGTCACAAGGGGGAGGTGACACCATTTTGGTGTCATCCCCTCTAAAAAGTCGGCACTCGGTCATGGACTGAGAATCCAACAGCGTCAGGAGAGAGGAGGGGACCCGGCGGCATACCTCATCCTGCCGGGTGAACATCTCCTCCTCTCTCTGCCGGCGTCTGTCACCAAGATGGCCGCCGGCAGGCCTCAATTAGATGACCGTGCATGAGCGATGACGTCACGGCCAAAGCTGATCTTACATTAGCAGCGCTATGAGCCAATCGGGACTCTGTTGCTTTGAACACTGCAGCCGGTCTAACACAGTGGTCACTCTCGAAGGAGAAGAGATCACATGATCGTCCCCATCACTTTAGCACTGCTCCATCACTACCTGATCAGCATGCCAGGGGACGGAAGGTCATCGTTCTCTGCAGTCACTCGTATAGATGCCGAACCATTACAACTAATATATGACCAAAAGTATGAGGACCCCCCACATCCCAATGTTGGAGTTCAGGTGTCTCCAGTGAAGGTTCTGTTAATGGTCCACCATACAAAGACATTGTAGACAATTGGGCTCTTCCAGCCTTGTGGTCAAAGTTTGGTGAAGACCCTTTTTTGTTCCACCATGACTGTCCCCTGTGTACAAAGCTCCATAAAGACATGTGACCAGTGTGGTGGTGGAACTTAAGTGGCCTACACAGAGCCCTGACCTCAACCCTACTGAACACCTTTGGGGATGAACTGGAACACCAATTGGGAGCCGGGTCTTCTCATCCAACACCAGTACCTGACCTCAACCCTACTGAACAACTGTGGAATAGAAGACAATTGTACTCTTCCAACCTTGCGGTTACGGTTTGAAGACATGGTGTGACCAGTTGGGTATGGAGGAATGTGAGTGTCCTGCACAGAGCCCTGACCTCAACCCTACTGAACACCTTTGGGATGAGTTGGAATGCCGATTGTGAGCCGGGTCTTCTCATCCAACATCAGTACCTGACCCCAACCCTACTGAACACCTTTAGAATAAAAGACAATTGTGCTCTTCCAGCCTTGTGGTCACAGTTTGGTGAAGACCTTTTTCTGTTCCACCATGACTGTCCCCTGTGTACAAAGCCAGCTCCATAAAGACACGGCGTGACCAGCTTGGTGGTGGAAATTAAGTGGCCTACACAGAGCCCTGACCTCAACCCTACTGAACACCTTTGGGATGAGCTGGAACCCTAACTGCAAGCCAGGTCTTCTCATCCAACACCAGTACCTGACCTTAACCCAACTGATCCCCTTTTTGCATAAAAGACAATTGGGCTCTTCCATCCTTATGATCACAGTTTGGTGAAGGCCCTTTTATGTCCCACCGTGACTGTCCCCTGTGTACAAAGCCAGCTCCATAAAAACATGGTGTGACCAGCTTGGTGAAGGCCCTTTTATGTCCCACCATGACTGTCCCCTGTGTACAAAGCCAGCTCCATAAAGACATGGTGTGACCAGTTTGGTGAAGGCCCTTTTATGTCCCACCATGACTGTCCCCTGTGTACAAAGCCAGCTCCATAAACACATGGTGTGACTAGTTTGGAGTGGTGGAAGTCGAGAGTCCTGACCTCAGCCCTACAGAACACCTTTAAGATGAATTGGAACCCCAACTCTGATCCAGGTCTTCTCACCCAACACCGGACATGACCTGACAAATGCTCTTTTGGCTGAAGAGACCCAAATGCCCACAAACACCCTCCAGAACCTCATGGAAAGTCTTCCTAGAAGAGTGGATTTGGTTATAACCAACAAAGGAATGCCAACTCCGTATTACCCGCCATGGTTTTGGCTAACAAGCTCATAGAGGTGTGAAATGGTCAGGGTATATGGACCTTGCATGGTCAGCATCAAAGTGACCCGCAAGGCTTCTCCTCGTACAGAGGCCCCCCCCACCCCCCCGTGGTTTTCATCTTTCACTGACAAAGGCAAAGCCGTGATAATGGTCATGGAAGCGTGAAGAAAGACTTTGGCGCGGCGATCAATAATAGCAAAAAGAGCCGAGCGGGTGAGGAGCACATCCATGATTCCCGCCCCCCCATCCTCCGCCTCCTCATTCCAGATAGCATGCTGAGACATCAGACTGAACCCTCGGCACAGTCCGGCCCGCGGGGAGTAATTGCCTATAACTGCCGGCCTCACCGGGGTCACCCTCCCCCCCCCCACCCAGCCGGGGAAACATTCAGGCCGATCGATAGCAGTCATGTTTCCAGAGAGATGCGGTTTGATTCCGTCTCCGAGATTAAAAAGGGAAACGGCTGCTCGGCTGCCTGGGGGTAACACGCCATCGATCGGGCCCGTGTTCTACAATGGCCTCTCCGCCGCCTTCTCCTCCCGCTCAGATCATACAAGGCGGGGGGCATCGGGGGGGAACCGAAAAACCAGATCAGAGGGAACACGGGGACACCAGGGAGGAAAGCAAGATCATGGCCTGGTGTTGCTGCACAGGAACAATCCAACGGAACGTTACACGTCTCCTGTACACGTATGAATGATGCATGTGTGACGTGTGCATGACGAATGTATGACATGTATGGGGAATGCATGAAGAATGTGTAAAGAATATAGAGGTAAGTAGAAGTATGTTTGACAAATACATGACGTATGTATGATGTATGAAGTGTGTATGACAAATGTATGAAGGATGTGTACTATGAAGGATGTGTGAAGTATGTAAGGAGAATGTATGAAGTATGTAAGGAGAATGTATGAAGTATGTACGAAGAATGTAGAAGTATGTAAGGAGAATGTATGAAGTATGTATGATGTATGTATGAAGTATGTATGAAGAATGTAAAAGGATATATGAAGTATGTATGAAGGATGTATGAAGTATGTATGAAGTATGTAGTAGTGTATATGAAGCATGTATGACGTATGTATGTATGTATGAAGTATGCAGTAGTATATATGAAGCAGTATGAAGTATGTGGTAGTATATATGAAACATGTATGAAGTATGTATGAAGTATGTAGCAGTATATATGAAGCATGTATGATGTATGTATGAAGTATGTAGTAGTAGTATATGAAGCATGTATGAAGCATGTATGACATATGTATGAAGTATGTATGAAGCATGTATGACACATGTATGTAGTATGCAGACACTTGAGGACCCAGTCCAGGGTTTGGGAGAGAGCCTAATATCTGCGTATGCTGCAAGCAGAACATCGCGGCAGACAATGGAGCCGGAGAGATTATCGCAGCAGCCAAGTCAGCTTCTCGTCACAGGAGCTGACAATCTAATTACAGCCTTTGGCGTGTGATTATCTGTACGAGATGACAGAGGAAGAAGAGGCGTGGCCAGCAAAGGGGGCACTAATATATATATACTGAGTGGCCAGATTATTATGACCCCCCCCCTATCAGTACTTCGTTGGGCCGCCCCGTGACTCCACGAGATTATGAAAGTCCGAGCGCCAACAATCACCCCACGTTCAAAGGCTGCTAACTCTGCCTGTAACCCCAACACTGACCCTCCCTGTAACCCCAACACTGACCCTCCCTATAACCCCAACACTGACCCTCCCTGTAACCCTAACACTGACCCTCCCTGTAACCCCAACACTGACCCTCCCTATAACCCCAACACTGACCCTCCCTGTAACCCTAACACTGACCCTCCCTGTAACCCCAACACTGACCCTCCCTATAACCCCAACACTGACCCTCCCTGTAACCCTAACACTGACCCTCCCTGTAACCCCAACACTGACCCTCCCTATAACCCCAACACTGACCCTCCCTGTAACCCTAACACTGACCCTCCCTGTAACCCCAACACTGACCCTCCCTATAACCCCAACACTGACCCTCCCTGTAACCCTAACACTGACCCTCCCTGTAACCCCAACACTGACCCTCCCTATAACCCCAACACTGACCCTCCCTGTAACCCTAACACTGACCCTCCCTGTAACCCCAACACTGACCCTCCCTATAACCCCAACACTGACCCTCCCTGTAACCCTAACACTGACCCTCCCTGTAACCCCAACAC